TATACATAAGTACATGTGTAATTTCTCTCTTTTGATTTTACTTTTTAATGTACTTTCTGCTCTTGGGTTTAGATAACACCTTTCTTGCTAATTCACTGGAGAAATGACTAAAAATATGCCTTCTAATCAACATTTATTATAAAATTAACAACGGTTTTGAGTATTGATAAGCAGTTCATCATATAGCGTTTGACCTTTCTGACTTAGGAGGGTCTTTTAAACATAACTAATTTCAAGCCCTGATCCAATACAAAAAATTGAAAATTGGAACATGGCAATGTTGTTTTAATCTGTTCTCCTGGTAGACCACGAGATTAATTGCCACCGTTTAACAGATTAGAGTCTTACAAAGAGTTTTATTAACATTATAAAAACATTCAATGCCTTTCATAATATTAATTCTTAAGTCAACTTGAAATTCTATATTTGGCATAAAAGTAAGTCTTTGTTATCTGAATTAGGTGTTAAGTAACTAAGTATGATTCTGTGGGAAACACTAAGAATTTATTCTCTTTCAATTAAGAAGTATAATGTTGCCCTGGCCAGTTGGGCTCAGAGCTTAGGGCGTTGGCCTGTGGAGCAAAGGTCTGTGCATTCAGTTCTGGTCAGTGGTATGTACCTGGGTTGCAGGTTTGATCCCCGGCCCTGGTCGGGGTTGTATGGGAGAAAACCAATCTATGTGTCCCTCTCACATCTATGTTTCTCTCTCTCTCTCTGTCTTTCTCCCCCTCCCTTCCACTCTCTCTAATAATCAGTGGAAAACTATCCTCGGGTGAGGATTAACGAAAATAACAATAATAATGATAGTGAAACGTATGATGTTATACAGTTACCTTCTTTTTAGCTTTCTAATTTCTGGGGGGAAAAATATATTGATTAAGATATATGCTGAAAAAAACTTTTTTTAAAGGAAAATAGGCTCAAATAAATAAAGATATCCTTAAAGATCCCGATTTTAATAAGAATAGAAATATGAGAAGTAACAATCTCAAATAAAAGTTCTGTGTGGTTCTGATCAGACTCAGTAATCACCGTAAAATTTACTTTTAAATGAAAGGACAGTTTGGTGCTTTTATTCTTTTATCTGTGTGCTTGTATTCATGTCTCTTTCCAGAGCATTTCGTTTCTGGTGGCACGCCGTTGTCCTTGTTGCCTTCATGCTGCCGCGTGGACTTGAATACATCTGAAGGATTTCACCTACCAGTTAAAAGCATTGACTTGATTATTACTATAAAACTCTTCTCTTTTTAAAGCCTTCCTACTTGACACTTGCTTTTCACTGGATTTAATAATTTTATACACGCTTTTAAAATTCACGGTTGAATGAGCACGCTTCATTTTACTTTGTTGATTATAGCAGGACCTCTTCAATATTTGTTTTCTACCTTTTGACTACACATTGTTAAACTGTAGTTAGTGAGTTCTGGTGTTGAATTAGGTCCTCCCAGCTGGGTATGAGATAATTCTGTTCCTGTTTATTAATATTAGTCTATTTTTATGCCCTTTCTTTCAACACTTATTGTTAATATTATTTTTCTAAGAAAGCATCTTTTGAAAAAGAAAAAAATACTTCTAGCTTAATAAAATAGAAAGACTCAAAAGAAATGTCTCTAATAACAGAAAATTTTAAAAATTTTCTTTGGGTTAAGAAGGATATCTTAATATATATTTTCAAAATTTTATTCTCAGTACCTAACACAATGTATGGAAATTTGCATTGAATTATTTTGTTACTTTTTACATTATTACATATAAGAATGTTTGATATATATGGAGTAAAATGGTTCTTGCTATCATTAAACATTTGTTTCATTACCATCAAAATTTTGAGAAAAAATTTATTAGGAGACAAAAACAAACAAACAAACAAACAAAAAACAAATTTCAACAACCAATTTCTATGTACTCATATCAAGTAGTTGTTTTGTTTTTTTTTCCTTTATTTGACTGTTTTTGACAGACTGGCAGTTCTTACAGTGTATCCACATGTGAAAGCAGAACTACTTAAATCCAAGAAATAATTATTTATATTTAACATAGAAATCAAATTATATGTTGATGAGTACTGGAAATAAAATGAAACTATTCTTTGGGATTACCTTGACAACATTAACTGCAAATTACATCTACTACATTTACTGGCTTTATTAACAGTATCATATGTAGTCATAAAACACATGTATGCAGAAGTAGACATCTGAGAATATTGAATATTGAAGCTCACAGACACAAAAGCTGTGTTTTCTGATAAGTAATATATATCCTTGCCTCTGAATTAGCCCTGATTAATATTATTCTTAAATGAAAAGTTTAATCTTATGTAATTAAACAAACAAACAAACATTTCTTAGCAAACATTTTTTCAGCATTGTTGAAGGCAAACTCTTACTATTATCTAAAACAGAAATGCATATGTATGATAAATTAGATTCCACCAGAGGTTCAAGGTACTGCCATATAATATTAGGAAATCTGTCCATACAGCCCTCTATATAATACTCTAATGCTCTTTAAATAGTCACCACTCTTTTGTTGTTGTTGTTGTTTTTAATTGACAGAAAGACCTTTTTTAAAAAAAGAGAGTGACCAGTAGATTTTTGGTATTAGGAAGTAAATGAACATGTTGACTTGAACATATTCCCGCCACCCTCTTGGTGGTAATTCAGCAAGTACATAAGCTGGTGGAGTTTAGAGGGTGCATATGAGGCTGTGGCTTCCCTCTGTCACAAAGGGAGAGAGCAGGAAGGGTGTGGCCACTGGAGACTTAGGGATTTCTGTGCAAGAAAGGGAATTTGGTAATATGGTTAGAAGAAGATATTAAGGGTCCGGAACAAAAGTTGTATTTGTATATCATGTTAAAAAACATTTTCATCGTTTTTATAACATTTAAACTTGTATCAGTAATAAGTAAACATAAAACTATAAATAGCTAAATATAAAATAAGCACATACTTAATGGAATTAAATAACCAGAGGGAAGAAAGTCCAAGTTAAATACATAATAACAGGTGATATACATTAAATTTGAAATACAAAAACATTAAAAGATGAATTTGTAATAATTTAAAAAGTTATGAGAAATATAGTACAATTAGATTATGAGAAAGAAAGAGACTTTCTAGAATTTGACTAATGATTGCAAAATTTAGGATTTTATTAGAAGACCTAAAAGAGATTAGTCTCTGCTAAAAACCTAGTTACTAGTGTGGAAGATCCAGTAAAAGATTGCTTACAATATAGAGGAAAAGTAGATAAATTTCAGGAGAGAAAATATAAAAGAATCACAATACAGGTTTGGACACTCAATGTGTAAATAATAGGCATTCTAGGAGGGAAATTAAAGGATCAGAAAGACATGGAATAAGCAAATAAATAAAAACTCAAAAACCCATTTTCTTCAGTTGAAGTAAATCTTCAATTTGCAGATAGAAAGGGCTCATTACTTTATCTGAATAATCCAGCTTAGAAATATGGTTAAAACTTTTCATTTTATTAACAAACTTGTTAAAGATAATTTGCAAAAAAAGGACAAAAAAAGTTTTGTTTTTTTTGTAAATTATAGAAAACTTTCTAAATATATTGTCAAATTAAACCCAACAATTTAGCACAAGAAAAAATATATCATGCAAATTAAAAGAATAATAATAATAAGTTCCATTTGCACAACCTAGAAATCATCTGTTGATGACATCAGTGTAACAAATACCACTTTGGGAACATTGGTGGTATGGCAAGATCACTAGATTGAAATTTTAGTGACCAGTTTTAACTCTGATGTCAGGTTAAAGTAAGACAATTTCATGTGAGACAAATAACTTTGAGCAATATTTCTCTGTTATGTTTTCTGCTGATTATCGTTCGCCCAAGAGGCTCTCAGCCCCAACTCTATGAAATTAAGTATTATGGAATAAGATATGTAAGATAGAGTTGATCTTTGTAGGACCACAAGTCCTTATAATATCTAAGGTTTTATGACCCTAAAGAACCAATTTTCTCCTCCTTGGAGGTAATAAATAACTACCACCTTGAAAACACATGCCTGAAAGGAAAAACAATGGTAACATGCATTGCTGGTAAACCTTCAGTTTAATTACTATATACTTTCTGGAAAATAATCTAGCAATACATGAACATTTTAGGCTAGAAATTCCATATTTTGAAAAATGTCTTATTGAAATGCAAGTACCAAAAAATGCGAGTTTATATGTAAAAGATGCTTATTTCAGCATTACCTTTAGTGGCAAAAAACTTGAGGTCATTAATCTTGGACTGATACAGCAAGTTTTAGTAATGTCACTGTATGAGATATTACATAGCTCGAAAGGAAGACTGTATATCTACTGACCTGAAGAGATGTCTAGAATGCATTTTAAAAGAAAAGCAAGTCAGAACGTAATGAGAATCGGAATGATAGAAGGATACTTGGGAGCTTATCGATTTTACCTTTGTATATTTTGACTTGTTAAATTACTTTCTAAAAGCATTCAGTACCATTCTAACTTAATATTTTAAAAATGTTAAAAATGTAAGTTGAGTTAAAGGGCATAGGTAAATTATAAAAGTTGCAAAAGAAGCAAATATATTTTATAGGATTCATGTTATTAGAAGAGCAGGTGGTTGGTCCCCTTGAACAAGCTGCAGAAAAATAACCAACCAACCAGCCAGCCTTGGAAACCAATCTCTCCGTAGGTCTTCTCAGTTTTAAGTTGTCTGCCATGAAATAAAAGCATTGCTTCTACAATAAGAGGAAAAGTTATATAACATGAGTTTGAGTGTTACTTAGATTCTACTGAGTTTGGAATTTTAAAACTACCCATGTGAATTTTAACTCTTAACTTGATATTTGTAGGAATTCGTATACATATATCATTGTCCTTTGGAAACATGTAAACTGATTTAGGAACAGTATAATAATATTCTCTTTTACACAGATATAATTGCATCACCTGAAGTGGTTCTTATCGGCACATTTACATCTTAATCATAAATATATTTTGCAGATTTATGATGGAAAAGATAAAACGACGCATCTATTAGGTGCTTTCACGGGTGCATCCCTGCGAGGACTGACACTTAGCAGTACTTCAAATCAGCTCTGGCTAGAATTTAATTCTGATTCTGAAGGGACAGATGAAGGCTTTCAACTTGTCTATACCAGTAAGTATTTGGGAAGAATAAAGTTTTCATATACAAATGTTGATACGTGTTCAGTAATTGAAGTATACCAGGTGAAGTGAAATTCAACATCTGATCGTCAATGTGCAGTTTACAACTCCCTTCCACATATATCATTGCATTTGACCCTAACAGCAACTCCATAATTTACAGGTGTTCTGTTGCTCTTTTACATTTGAAACAACTAAGTTCAGAAAGGTTAAGTAATCTGTGAGTTTAAGTTTATTTATTTATTTTCAAAATGGCACTATACTCCCCATGGAATATTTAATAAATGCAATGAAACTTTTTATTGGATAGAAATCCAATATTTCATCTCCCACCCAAAATTACAAAACACACACAATATGTGTGTAATAGTTATAGTTGGAGAGTCATTGATAATAAATGGTGGTTCCAGGTGATTTTGCACTAAATAGTAGCTAAGTTTTTATTTTGTTTTGCTTACGTGTTGAATTGCCTTATTAAAAATAACTTTATACAGACCTGTTCTATGATACTCAAGTCAACTATTCTGACAATTGAACAGGTAGCAGTTCAAAGACTGAGAATCAGAGGTAGGTAGATAATATCATTATATGAATTTATTTTATGAGGGCCAAAATCTAAGAAACAGGCTAATTACATTAATAAATAATAAATTATATTCCAAGAATATATTTATTGTGTTTCCCCTCTATGTAAGACACTGTATTACAAAGTAAAGCACATGTAAAATTGAAGTGGTTACATGTGTTGAATAAATTTACCATCAGATCAAATCACTTCTTGAAAATTCTCAATTCTCATTTAAAATACAAAATAAATTAAGTAGCAACATTCAGGATACTTTAGATTAGAATATTAGAAAAAATAATCTAGTGACCCCTCTAATTTTCTCAAGAGTTTAGATGAATGGAAACTATTACAGAAACTGGGAAATTAAAAACGTTACAGCATTAAAGGTATTCACATGGGATTCTAAAGGGAAACTGAATGAAATTATTGTTTGTGAAAGTATTCTTAATGATATGAGAAGTAGTAGACAGAAGAGTATAATGACTCATATTAAAATTCTGGGGTATAATACTGAGAGATTACTCCTGCTCCCTGATTATTTCAAGGTTTTTTCTACTTGTTTTTTAATCATTACATCATTAACATTAGAAAACATAAATGAACAAAATGAATGTTAAATAGCTACTTTTAAATCCTGAGAACTGTTGTATACAATGTGATTTCTTATGAAATCTTTTCAAAGACAAATGAAAATCCAAGCAAGCCATGTATATTACTGTGTGGTGGAGTAAAAGTAATTGTATTGAGAATTATTGCTCAAATATAACTAACTGATGTGGTCTCTTCAGAATGGCAAATATTTTTCAATCTGTTTTCTTCTTTTCCTTTATCTGTTTTTTAACAGTGCTGCTGACATTTTTCAAGTCATGGCTCAGTGTTTACATAATGGTCTTTCTCTGTTCTGCATCATTTTACATTTCTCTATGTCTAAAAAATATTAATAGGTTTCATAGAGGAAATCTAGATTTTCTTTTCTGATATTCAAACTCTATGTAACCCGAGATTATTGATGCAAAGATACTGGGCATTTTAGGATATACCCAGATTATTTTTTAATTGAATTTATTGGGGTGACATACCTGGATTTTTTCATTGTATGGGACATGGGTGTCTGGAGTGAGAAAAATGATTCAATTTGTCATTGACATGAGCTATTAGATATCAAAACAAAACAAAACAAGGAAACCTTAAAAAGCAAATATCTGACATCACTCTTCTTTCTTAATGACTCTTGTTGTTCATTATATAATGAATGTTTTTATGAAGATGGGAAGCTAAAGATTTTGGGAAGAGAGTATAAAAACAATTATTTTTATAAAGGTCAGGTGTACATCTATAAATATAAGTGTTTGTACCTACAACTAATATAACAGTTATCACACTGCATTGTGGTTATATTTTTTTGCAAACATATTGTTCATAGTTTTTTGGGGGTCATTCCCCTTCATAATGGCTTCAGTCAATTTTAGTTCAATTACATCTTTTTACGTATTCTTGGTGAATGAACTTGTGGTCTTAATACTGAGTTTATAAAATACCTTTATGATACAGAAGGTTCTACTAGGCCACATACTTTAAATATTCATAAAACTCTTAGAAGCAGTAATCAATTTTCTAACATGAGAGAATTTGCTAGGTGTTCAAATACGGGAAAACAAATGTATTTGTGTTTGAATTCCTGTATCTAGTCATTTCTAAGTTCAACTCCATCCCTCCCATCACATGAATTAAAGTCAGGAGAGAGGACATTAGGGTAGGGCAGATCAGACAAGGATTCATGAATTAGGTGGTATTAAAGGTAGGGTTGGTAGGTCACAGAAAGAAATGGGGTGTTCCAGGCAAAGAGAATGTGACAAAGAAAGGCACAGAGATTAGGAAGAACATATTAAGCACTTTCAAGGCATATAATACAATTCAGATTAATCCCACTCACCTCACTTTTAATAAATCTAGTCTTAGCACAAAGAGGCCATTTGTGACCGCTCTTGACTAATGACACACTATCTAATTATAGGCCCTTTCGGTTTATCTATTATCCATTTTGTTGACTTAATAACACTTACTGTTGTGTGGTTTATTTTCAGTTTTAGGTAGACAAATCTCATTTGGCTGGGATAAAAATGAAGAAATTTTTTAGAATAGGCCATTAAGGTTCATTTTATGTCTTACTGGTCCATCTGTTACATAATCATGAAGAATAGCAAATGGACTAGTAAAAATAGGGGCTGGGAGGCTGTTTTTGTCTTCAAACAGTGGAAAAGCTAAGCATGGCTTAAACAACAAGGGGATATATATGAAAAAAGACAAGGAAGAAGGAGGGTAGGTTTTCATTCAGCTGTTCAGTCTAGTTAACAAGGGTCCTGCCCTTTCTTGCTGCTGTGGCATCCCTAGTGTTCACTTTTTGTCCTCAGGCTTGTGACATGATGACAAGATCAATGCGTTCAAAGCAGAAAGAAAGAGGACAGACAGCGCTGACCACATGTGTTCAGGAATGCACACTCTCCTGTCATACAGTCTCTTATCTCTCTTTGTCCAAAACTGGGCCGTGTGGTCACGCCTGCATTTTTCAGAAGGCACACCAAAAATGAGGAATTTGGCAGACTAAATGTTTTAGTATTAGACCATCATGATATACTGCCTGATATGAGTCTATTACTTCTGGAAACAAAATCATTGTTTTGTGAGTGAGGAAGAAGAGATATTGAAAAGACAATGTGCAATGTCTACTATAATATACAGCTATAACAGACATCCCACAAAAGAGTATGTTCAAATGTATTGTATTAATATGTACCTCCATGATTAATGGTGTCGTGGAAGCCCAGAGAATCTTGAGTATTTAGAAAGAAAAAGCCCTTGGTTTACCCGTTATTAATATTAGCCTTACTCTGCCAAGCAGACAGTGGGCTCCTCTCCCTTTCCCGCCACAATAAGGAGATTATATACATACCTAGTATAAAAATGCTACATCACACTCGAGGGGAGAAAATGTCACTTTATTTTCCAAAGCAAATTAAATTTCTTCAGTCTTTGTCCTTTAGAACTGTTAAGAAGAATCTTATTTAGTCTTTTGTGGAGATAGTCTTTTTCTCTCAAATAAGTTTCTCAGTCAATTCTAGTTTGATTAGACAGTCGAAGTGCGGACAGATATACTGATTTAATATGAAACCTCAGTGACACTTGGTCAGACCTTGACGGCAGCACACGGTATCCTGCTGTCCGTCCGTCCCGCCAGCCTCTCAGAGGTAATTACTTCCTCGAGTCAGATCACTCTCCCATTCTTCTCAAAATAATGGCAATCAATTACTCTTGCCCTTGAGAAATCTGAAGCTCACCCCAAAGAAAGATCGAGATGAAGCTCATTTTCAGGTGTTTTATATAACAGAAATTAGTTGTTAATTTCCCTGTGACCCATAAAGCATAGCTATCTTTCCTAGAGGGTATAGGGGAGCAAAGTGAAAAAATAATTACCATTCCTTTTCTTGAAGTTGGACGAACAGATCAGAAATTAAGGTCTCAATCCCGTATCCTTGCTAAACCATCACTCTGCTCTGGATAACACTGTAATAGAATTTGGAAAATCCTGATAGGATGCTCTGAGCAGAATCCCTCGGTCCCTCAAGACACATTTCAAGAATGTGTTTCTAAACCTGGTGTCTTTTATTGTATTTCTTTCTCTGAAGGCTAAGTTGTAAAAATGCCATTTTTATTTGGTGACTTGTCTTATCTTCCCTTTTACTTCCCTACTGGAACTAATTTATTGTTGAAATTATTTATTTGGTCATAGGTTTAAATTTTGCCTTTCCCCACTGAGATGTTTTATGGTCTGGGGATAAAGAAAACAGTGAATAAGACAAAGTTTATGCCCATATGGAGCCAACGTTTTACTGGGAAAAGACAGAAGATAAAGACACAGAGAGATGATAAGAGGACCGCATTCAGAATGGGTTTATTACAGGACAATGGGATAGATAATATGGGAGATGGGGCTTCTATGTCTAGTTAGCTCAGGGGCTCTGTCTCAGCTGAAGTGTCACCGGAACTGACACCTGGATTAAAAGAAAAGGAAACTACATTCAGATCTGGGGGAAGAGGACTCGAGGCAGATAATCAATATGGGCAAAGGCCTGAGAGAGGCCTGAGCTTGAGTTGTGTACCTGGAGCTGGACGAGCAAGAGGAATAGAACAAAGTGAGAGGTAAAGTTGGAAGCTGGTCAGGGGAGAAGTGGACTGTAGTAAGGAGCTTGGGTTTTATTTAAAAGCCATACAGAGACTTTCAACATTATCGCATTAAATATAGGAGTTTAAAATAATAGTTGGCATTTATCTGTTACCTGCTAGATACAAGATATAATCCTAGGAATGAGGTAGTGTTACACCCTGTGAGAAGAGGAGGTAAAATACAGCACAGAAACATTACTTGC